ATATATATATATATATATATATATATATATGAATGATACTGTAGACAGAGAGAGAGATACGACAGATAGATAGACAGACAGACAGACAGACACAGAAGATATAGATGGACGGATGGATGGCGATAGAGATGGTAAGAGATGCAGGCAGTCAAGTGACAACAGCACCGAAAAAAGTGACTTATGACTGTTTTTCCCACTTATGACCATTGCAGCCTCCTCGTGGTCATGTGATCAAAATTCAGACGCTTGGCAACTGACTCCTATTTACAACGGCCGCAGTGTCCCGGTGACACAGGATCTCCCGTTGCGACCTTCTGACAAGCAAAAGTCAATGGGGAAGCCAGATTCACTTAACAACCATGTGACTAACTTAAACCACTGCAGCAATTCACTTAACAGCTACAGCGAGAAAAGGTTGTAAAATGGGGCAAAGCTCACGTCACAGCTGTCTCGCTTAGCAACAGAAATATTGGGACTCAATTCGTGGTCGTACGCAGAAGACTACCTGTGTGTTTATTGAAGTCTATTTATTTTCTGGGCCTGCAACTCGCTGCTAAGGAAATTAATTAAGTAACAATACATCCATCCTGATCTTAAGCACACACAATATCCAAAACCTTATCAAACAGAAATAAAATGATTAAAATTGGGCATAATTGCCCTAATAAAATCTGGCAATTGAATGTATTTCAGAGCAGAACATTAAAATATGGCTTTCCAAATGGGTTTAAAAGCACATTCTCTTGCTTTCATTTATATGGTTCAAAGCTGTACTCAACTGTTGTTCAGATAATTGCTTAAACTTAAATATAAATTCCAGATATTCAGTGTTTTTTTTTAAAAAGGAATAGCCCTCTCTATTTTTTTTTTAATTGCCACTTCAAAAGACTGGTTAAGTCCCTTTTCCAAGGACCACCCCTGGCCATTCAACCTGAGAATTTAATACCTCGCGCCTTATTGTTAACAAATTTGTTCTTCAACTCAGCGATTCAGAGCATCCGTAGAAAATTATTCAAGTGCAGTCATGAAAAAGAAAATCTGATTCATTGCGTTTAAAGTTTTTTTTTTTAAAAAAAATGCTTAAACCTCTACCTGATGTTCTCTCTTTTTTTTTTTTTTNCAGTCAGCTGAAGTGGCCTGCAGTACTGCACTCTACCCACTGCGCCACCTCGGCTCTTGCCAAGGTTGAGAAACATGGTCCTAGAGCAGGGGTGTCAAATTCGATTTCATTAAGGGCTGGATCTGGATTGTGTTTGACCTTGGGGGCCGGGGTGGGTATGGTCAGCTCGACATCACTTGTGTTGGGGTAAGTGTAGGCCCAAGTGCTCTGCCAGCAAAAACGGACTCCCGAGCTCCGTTTTTGGTTGCAACAGCCTCCTGCAACCCTCTCCCAGTGAAAATGGGCTTCCAAACTCTGTTTTTGGCCGCGTGCGGTCCTCCCGAGCTCCGTTTCTGCTGACAGAAGTACCAGGGGCTGGTTCTTTGCTGTTCCGTGGGCGAGATTTAAGCATCCCGTGGGCCAGATCCGGCCCCTGGGCCTTGAGTTTGACACCCCTGACCTAGAGAATTTCACATTAAATTTGGTACTGGGAGATTAATAGCACAGAGAAATTCCTGGGAATTGTTCCCCACAAAGAGATAAGAAAACTCGCTTAAAAAGAGGGAGAGGCAGAGGACAAAACACTTATTTCCTCCAAAATATTTATTTATTTTTTATTCTGGGCCTTCACACCCCTACAACTACGTAGATTTCATTTAATTTAAACAGATACACACATACACACGATTATATAAATTCCAAATAGACGTGAAGAAAATTCATTTGTGTTTCCAAAGCTGAATACAGAAATGCTAAAGTTTTGAGAGTACGGGAGTGATCCTTGGCTTACAACCATTCGTTGAGTGACCAAAGTTACAAGGACTCTGAAAAAAAGTAACTTACGACTGCTGACACATACTTATTAACCATTGTGGCATCCCCGTGGTGACGTGTTTAAAATTTGGAAGGTCTCGTATTTATGATGGTTACAGGATCCTGGGGGGTCACGTGATCAGGTTTTGTGACGTTCGGAGAGCAGTCAATGGGGAAGCCAGGCTGACTTAACAACCATGTTGCTAACTGAAATGCAGTGGTTCACTTAACAACCGTGCCAAGAAAGGTCATAAAATGAGGCAAAACTGACTTAAGAACTATCTTGCTTATCAACAAAAATTTGGAACCTCAGTTGCCGTTGTCAGTCGAGGATTTCCTGAACGGAGTACATATGGAGGATGATTGGAGAAGGCGAATACGTGTAGTGCGATGAAGGTGTTTATCGGACAGTGAGAAATGGTTTTTTCCTGGGTTCTGGCTGGGATGTGTACGATCCATACAGATTGTAATAACTGCAAGTTATGCTCCAGAAAATGGTTAAAAAAAAAAAAGAAGATCCATTGACGGGCTTTAGACAAAACTATGCAATATTTTGAGTTGGGAGAACAAAATAAAACTTAGTAGTAGATAGATACGAGATAGACAGACACATGATAGACAGACAGACACAGACGATATAGGTAGGTAGGTAGATATCTAAAAAAAAACAATAACAGAGTTGGAAGGGACCTTGGAGGTCTTCTAGTTCAACCCCCTGCTCAAATGAGATACTGTAGATAGACAGACAGATGATAGATAGACAGAGAAGATATAGATAGGATAGGATAAGATATGATGGATGGATGAGATAGCTAAGAGGATAGATAGATAGATAGATAGATAGATAGATAGATAGATAGATAGATAGA